CTGACCCAGTGCATTGTGATTGGCCGAACACCGCAAGCACTCGTCGGAAATGTAACGCCCCTTACCATAATCATGAGCTTCATCTTTCAAAATAAATGTAAAGACAGTAAATAATGTCATTAGTTTTACCATCAGTTCAAGCCCGAAAGGGGAACAGACACAGTAATGATGCAGTACACAAGCCGCGGGCGGTTAAGACAGCTGACTCCACTTTGATGTGACGCTGTCTAGAAACACACAGCGTCTCCCTGACATGGCTGCTTCAACACTAACTGCGGTTACTGAAACCACGCCTTCTTTCTTTGCGTGCACATTTGGGCGCATTATGCAAATATTCCCACATAGTGACCTAGATATGTGGGGGCGTGTTAGAACGAGCCGTTTTAGGGGGGCGTGGCAGAGTCTTAACTTTGATAAAGAATATCTCTTTGGTTTTGAGACTTTAGTCTTTGCAACTTCAGGGATCTTATCTATGCACAATCAGCTTGTAACACTCCAAAGAGAAAGGAAAACTTGAAATCGCATCATATGATCCCTTTAACTGTATGTTTACACTTCAGATTTTTGCAATTACTTAATTTGTTCTTTAAGGCACAGCCTGAGGCAGAGGTGGATCTCAGGGCCCCAGAAGATCAAGGGTCCTTTCAGGAGAAGAGGACTTTTTTTCAAAAGATGGGTGAGTGGACACTGTCCAATCAGAATCCTTAAAATGGCTAAAATAAAACTACATAAAAGATTTTCACTATCTTTATGCATCTCGGGAACATCAGAAGCACGCCCAAAGTCTGCGCCAAAGGTTGCTAAGCCACTGATATATGCTTCTCCGCCGGAGGTGACCCAACCCAAATCACCTCCACCAGTACAGACTGAAGGTCAGACGTTTGTCACAACACCTAGGGCTAAGTTTTTGTGGTTCATTGTGGTCTTTATTTAAATTCATACTTAAGATTCTAATGTCTTCTTTAGTCTTCTAAGATTATATAATGTGTCTTGAAGTTTATAAACCCTTCTTCACACAGTGAAACCACTCCCAGAACCTCCTAACATCCGAACACCTAAACCAGAATCTCCAGAACCCACATCTCCTAAACCAGAACCTACTAGTAACATTAGAGAGATCATTAAGCGGTACCAGAGCCGGCCCTCTCCAGAACCTAAAGCCTTCGAGCCTGTCAGGTGGGCTAAGAATTGACATTAATTATTGTAAAGCAATAGCTTGCTCCACCTAGAGACCACTTTTCATGATCCATTGAATTCCCAATGGATCAAATCAAGTCCTGACCTTTTTTATTTTCTCGTGACATGTCCTGTGTCACTCTGAATGTGTGCACTATGGAAGTAAAGTGGGTTGCTAACTGTTATTCACATTGACTTAATGCAACCTCTGCTGTTATTGATCACTTGCATAATATTATGTTGCTCTGGCCTTTTCACTTGGAGTGATTCCCAGACTGTAAATGGAGGAATAATGTGGACTTTGATCTTCACAGGGTTCCGGCCAAGCACTTTGTAAAGAAAAATGACCCCAAAGAAGAGGCACTGGCCATTCTCAAAGCTCAGGGACCTGTCTCTAACCAGAAGGTAGATGATACCGACCTGAGTGACATGCCATAATCTAGTGTTTTAAACTTTTTGAGCTCAAAGTCAAGGATGTAGAAGTTCACCATGAATCTTTTTTTTTTGTATTATTTGTGCTGCAGAAACAGTGGGAACAGAAGCCTCCTTCACCCCCTCAGCCGCCTGAGTCCCGTGGCCCTCGTGAAATCTCTAACGATATGAGGCAGAAGCAGCGTTCACTAGCTGATCTCTTCGGCTCGCAGCGTTCACATGCTTTGCCTCGAGCTCGTGAGCCTATCCCTCCTTCACCTCCCAACATCCCCGACCCACCACCAATGCTTCCTAGTAAGTGATTCACATCTGATCTATAGGGGTCATTTCTAACATATATGCATTACACATAGTATGTCGTCAAGTACGACTGAAATCGTATTATTTCATTTTCTTTCATCGTAATTAGCACAATTAACTGAACATGAGGTGAAATTAAATAATTCACTACTTTTTAGGTTTGAGCGAATGTTGTCATTTTTGTAATGCTGCCAGGTACTATGCATTAAAATGAAAAACTGACAATTCTCTTTTTCGGAATATATTCCAGGTGTTGAAAACTGGCACTTTATTAAGAAATGTTCAAAATGAATAAGAAATAATTAAGGTGTTTCATTTTTTCTTCCTGTAATCAAAATATTATAGATGTTGAAAAACTAGTAATTTATTACGATTATTTATTCACATATTCACTTATTTTTTCTTTCTGCAGTTAAACTTAAACTGTTTTTTTTTTGTCAATTGTATTTTAAGGTTTTTACATAGAAATATGTATTATGTTTATATGTATTTGAAACTAATAACATTTTTATATTTCAAATAAGATATGCTTAACAATTAAGAAATTTAAAAAACATTCCAAAATTTCTTAAAGTTTTTCATTCTGTCTAATAGAAAAACTGCAAAATTATTATTATCATTTTTTTCAAGCAAATGTGTTGTCTTGGGGTTATTTGAATAGATGGATCATAAAAACTTACATTTGTAACACAGGGGTATGCATATAAATTTAAAAGTTAGATATACATATGCAAATTTGAAGAAAGCTGTGAAGATTTTATTCTCTAAAATTCTAATATTAAGGTAATATAATTTATAATATCCTTTATGTGTTCCTAAAGATCAGTTCAACAAGATGGTTGAGGAGGAGAGTGTTCGCTCTCAATTGCACAGATTCTCTGCCAGCGTTTACTTTTCGTCCCCCAGTATGCCTGGCAAACTCTTCCTGCGCAAGGAGGTAACTAAGTCAAGAGAGTTTTATGTGACTTTGCATGACTCCCACAACGGGTATCATGGCTGCTTCTGGCTAACTGAAGTATGCTCAATGTATTTGTGTTTTCTTGTACGCAGCTGTTTTATCCCAGGGAAAAATTCAACCACCCATACATTCTTAATTTACTCTGTGAGCAGGTCAGTAGCAATCATAGCATTAGATTTATTAAACGATGCAAAGTTTCCAAATTAATGTATTTTATATTAGCTTGTGTACATCAAACTCTGGGCCACACGTTATCTACTGTTTTTGAAAACTGCAGATCATGCGAGACACTTACTCGGATTCTTGTCTGAGGATTTCACGTGAGGAAAGGCGTAAAATGAAAGATCTTTTGGGTATGACAGATGCTGTTTTTTAATAATCCGTTACTATATACCAGTCTAATAATAATTCAGATAAACTATTATGGACAATTCAGCTAGTCTCTGTGTTTTTCTCTTACCAGCAAGCTTCCATATCGGAACCAGTATCAATTCACTAGATGACACCCTGAAGAAAAGAATTGTCATGGCAGCAAGAGACAACTGGTCCAATTACTTTGCACGTCTCTTTAATGTGAAGGTGAAATACTTGGCTTTGCTTACATAATGCGCATAAACATGCATACAGAAATTTGTTAAGCATGTGTGCTTCAACAGGTGGGGAATGGAGGAGATGCTCAGATTCTGGGAGTGTCACATAGAGGAATCAGACTGCTGAAAGTGGCCAGAGCTTCAGGCATAAACCCTAAACATCTCAGACTACTCCACAGCTACAGGTACAGAACATCTGAGAGGCTAAAAATGTTGTGTTAAACAGGCTAAAGCATGCTTTAAAAATTTGGGGTCTGTAAGATTTTTTTTTAATGTGAAAGAGAGTAAAAACAGTAATATTGTGAAATATTAAAATAATTGTTTTCTGTTTTAACACATTTGAAAAAATGTATTTATTCCTGTAATGGCAAAGTTGAATTTTTAGTAGCCATTAGTCACATGATCCTTCAGAAAACAGCACCAAGTCAGCTAACTAAAAGGCTGAACATTTTGTTTTATTATCAATGTTGAAAATAGCTGTGTGGGTTAATAATTTTTTGGAAACCATGATACACTTTTTTTTCAGGATTCTTTGATCGATAGAAAGTTCAAAAGAACAACATTTATGAAATTTATTTTTGTAACATTACAAATGTCTTTGCTGTCAAGATCTATTCCTTGCTGAATAAAAGTATTATTTTCTTTAAAAAAAAAAAATATTGACCCCAAACAATTGAACAGTAGTATATAATATTCTATAGTGTTGCAGTTTATGTAACCATATGTTTATACTGTTCAGTTTTTCACAGGTGTTGTCAGTACAGCAACAAGGGGCTGATAAAGTCGGGATCTCTTTGAGTAATGAGGAGTTAGAACTTCACTCTCAACAGGCACCACAGATCGCTGCTGTGATTCATCTCTTCCTCATGGAGCTGATTACGGTGCCGTGATACTACCCTTAACACATGTAGCTTTCATTTTTCATTTAAAGTCACCATACCTGACCTTATTTACTTTCATGGTTTTTAATATCCTGTTTCTTTCACTATATACCAAGTAAAATGGGTTGTGGTTTCATGTTGACTTTTTATCCATGACATTAACTAATATTGTGCATAGTTTTCATTTCAAAATTCGCAAAAACAATGATAAATGTGCATCAAAATATTGACCCCAAACAATTGAACAGTAGTATATAATATTCTATAGTGTTGCAGTTTATGTAACCATATGTTTATACTGTTCAGTTTTTCACAGGTGTTGTCAGTACAGCAACAAGGGGCTGATAAAGTCGGGATCTCTTTGAGTAATGAGGAGTTAGAACTTCACTCTCAACAGGCACCACAGATCGCTGCTGTGATTCATCTCTTCCTCATGGAGCTGATTACGGTGCCGTGATACTACCCTTAACACATGTAGCTTTCATTTTTCATTTAAAGTCACCATACCTGAACTTATTTACTTTCATGGTCTTATAAGGAATGGTTAATGCAGTACATTTTAACAAATAGAAACTGCTCAGTCTCTGAAACAACTCAGGCTCTCTTTTTCAATTTCTCAACCCTTCTCCTTCAACCACCTCCATCCTAATATGCAAAACCTTTTTTTTCACAATTGAAACAATTGCCAAAGGATTAAATCCCACCACATGTTTTTTTTTTATTTAATATCCTGTTTCTTTCACTATATACCAAGTAAAATGGGTTGTGGTTTCATGTTGACTTTTTATCCATGACATTAACTAATATTGTGCATAGTTTTAATTTCAAAATTCGCAAAAACAATGATAAATGTGCATATTACCTCCATTTGCAGAACTCAGACTATGTGATTGCTGTGAAAAGCTATGTGACCGATGACAGGAGCTTGCTGAGCTTTCACAGAGGCGATGTCATCAAAATTCTCAACATGGACGGCCTCAAGGACGGTGAGAAGAGAACTTGAGAAAATCATTTCAGATTGTGGATCTCCTTAAACTTTACCTTAAAAACGAATATGTGTAATTTCTATGCCATTAGCGACAAAATCATAAAAACATGTTCAAAATTGAAAAAAAAAAAAAAAAAAACATTAGTTAAGCAAAAAGTCAACATGTCTGACCATTAAAAACAGGCTTTCCCATTTGTTAATACACTGAGGATACGATTAGATGAATTTCTGCTGTTTACAGATGTTAGGCCTGTCAGCAGTGACACGGCACAAGTGTTATTTCCCAGGACACGTATTTTTTAGGAAGTAGGAACATTTAATGCATGATATTTAAAAAAAAAAAAAAAAGCAAAAAGTGTGACATGTTTGTATATCAAATATCACATTTGTATATATTAATAAATAGTACATCAAAACACCTAAAAGGGATTTACTATAGTTTTTTTTTTATCTTTGCAGGATGGATGTTTGGTTCTAGTGGGGGCCGTTCTGGACTCTTCCCAGTGGATGTCACTCAGCCTTGTGCCCCACCAGACTACCACAGCAGCAACATGGAGAGGCAGCTTGAACGGAAAAAGAGTATGAGACTCACTGGCTCTTCCCCCAATGTACCAGCCAATGGCCCCGTCACCTACACGCCTGTCAATGGCCCTGTGACCAACATACCTGCTTATAGCTTTGTCTCCAACACCTCTGTTGCCCGCTCAGTGGCTAGCAGTGTATACAGTACTGACGTGGGGTCCATCCAGAGATCTGAATCAGATCATCAGCAGTATATCATGACTGAGTTTGCCAGGAAGTTCTTCACAGATGCTATCAGCAGGTGAAATCTTCTGGAAAGCAGAGGAGTTTGCATCATACTTCACAAACGCCACTTGACATTGATTTATTTATCTTATTTTTCAGACAAAACAAAGACAAAAGTCTTAATGAGATGGTGGAATACACTCCAGTACGTATGCATCTCTTAGTCTCTCACTTGATGCATGCTGGGATTTTATATGTTTTTTTGATTGTTTTTGTTTGCTGTGTTTTCGTTTATTAGAATCCTATTCAGGAACCACTGATCCTTTTCTCAGACAATGATCTCAATCGTCTTGGTGCTCAAAACTTCATGGGTAAGTTAACAAATGTACTGAAAAACAGATTAACTGTAAATTCACCCATTATAACAGCAAAAAATGTGGCTTCCCTGGGATAATGTACAGTCGGTGGGTCATGTAAAATAAAATCAGAAGCCCAGTAAGAAGCAAAGAGGTCTTTTATGTGTACAAGTTTGGTAAGGTGGTAAAAGTTTTACCACCCTGAAAGGGTTTATTTTTTTTGCGATAATGACAGACTAAAAAAAATGGTATGATGAAAATGTCATGACAACATCATGACATCAAAATAAGTTAAGCGATTGTCAACTTTTTAAAAATAAGTTATACAAGATTCAACTCATGTTTTAAGTCAGTTTAATGTAATTCAAGTTAAAATGACTTATAAAGCTAAGTTGATTGTACTTAAAAAAAAATTTAAAGCATCAACTTTTTTTATGGTGTATAACTACATTATCCCACTTAAAAATACATTACATACATAAATTAAACATAAAATTTATTTATATGTAATTTAAAATGACAAAATAAATCAAATGAATTAATCATCGACTTGACTTTAAATTAAGAGAGTTTGGAGGAATCAAAAAGCCTTAAAAAATAATATGGCTATCAAATTGTTTGCCTGGGGAATGTGGTCATTATATTTAGTTGTCGATATACCAAAATATTTGATCACAGATTGACCAATCAGAATGAAGTATTCCAATCTGATTCCATTCCATTCAAAGTTTTTGACACAGCAGTTTCTTTGTAGTTTTGATGCAGTTTATGATGGATCAGCCTATGAAGAAAAATCAGACAGAGAGTGACTGTGTTAACTCCATTTTGCAGGTAAGCGTTCCGTCCAAGTGTACAGCATATTTTATTTTGAGAGATATTGTGAATTTTGACATCTGTTTCATGACAGTTTGTTTTGGTTTAGTTGGGAAAAGAGAAGGAGTTCCTCAGAGATGAGATCTACTGTCAGGTCATCAAGCAGACCACAAAAAACCCAGTGAAGTGAGTAAATAATATGTGTACACTACCATTCAAAAGGTTGTGGTCAGTTAGTTGTTTTTTATACTTGGAAGAGACTGTGAAGACATTCATAATGTTACAAAACATTTCCAGCCCTGAATTTTTGAATGTGCATTTTATTTGCTGATTTTATAGGGAGAACTGTACCCGTGGCTGGCGTTTGTTCAATCTGGTGACTGGATTCTTCCCCTGTTCCAACACTCTCCTGCCATATTGCACCCGCCACCTGGAGGCCATCACTCAGGGTGCCAACCACCCGTTTCAAGGTACAGTATTCACTTGTGGATTTTGCTATACTATATGATTAAAAAGTTATTTGTATCAAGAATAGCTGTTTTTGTGTTTGCACTGGGTTGTGTGAATATAATATTTGTTTACAGAACTGGCAAGTGTGTGCTTGAAGAATCTCAGACGATCACTCAGTTTCGGAGGACGCAGACACATCCCTTCACATTCAGAGATGGAGGCCATTTTGGTAAGTGAAGACACGTGAGAAAAGAAAATATGTTAAACAGAGCAGGCGAAAGTATGTGAAATAGTTTTCTTTGCTCTGCAGGCTGGGAGGAGCTCCCGTCGGCTGCCCATAAAGCTGCCTGGTGGAAACGAATTTGCCTGCAAGATTCGCAGCTTTAGTGTAAGTGAGGGCCGCTCTTTCTATTTTCATTCTGTTCAGATAATGTGTTGTTTACATGTAGTGCTTTTATGCTTTTCTGCAGGTCGCATTTGAGGTGGTACAAGACTTTTGCACTGAGATGGGCGTCTTAAATCCAGCAGAAGTGAAGGAATTCTCCATCCATGCCACTAAGAAGGGGGGTAAGATATCTTTAGTCACTCTTATGCACACTTGAACACACATTCACACATCAGACAATGCTTTCACACTGTCTTTACCACAAATCCCTCTCTTTAGGTGATGTGACACGACCAATTCACTCCGATGAGTATCTTTTTGACTTCCTGCTGGATGATGGCTCCATCTCCCTCTCCTTTCATCGAATAATCTGGAAACAGCCCTTGCAGTTCAGCAATGATCTTTATCTGGAGTTCCACTACCAGCTGGTACAAAAACAGTCACTTTTGAATTCATTATTATGTAAAATATTAAAGTAATAACACAACAACCCCTGTTTTACATGAATGAATATCCAAGATTCCAAGATATATATCTTGAAATGTATTGTATACACTACCGTTGAAATTAAATTTATACATTACTATTCTAAAGTTTGGTGTATAATGCTAGAAAAGTTTTTAAAACAATTATTTTAAAGAAATGCAACAGTTTATTCATCAGATAATCCTGAAAAAACATAGTTTCCAATTCTATGAAAATATTAATTGTCTCCGCTATTGTTAAAGGCACAATATGTAATATTTTTTTTATTAAAATATCCAAAAACTACTAGAACAGTTTTATATATTTTGCTGACTTGTGCACTTACATTATCCCAAATGTTTCGAAGAATGTTTAAATCCAGAGAAATAAGCAATTTTAACTAGTGACACGGACCGTGTCCATAGTGTATAGTGCCACCTGCCGATGACATCATGCACCCTCGATTTCCGAGGAACATGGAAACACCAAAGACACTTTAATATGCTACGCATTTTATTAGACAGGTGACGACTGCACAGAGTAGCATTATAACAGAATTTTCAAATGTATCTAGTATGATAAAACATCGCTGCTTTACCCCACATCCGCACGACCGGAGGGAGCAGAAACGGTCGACTGTGGCATAATAAAAGCTCTGCTGCTTTCGAGCCGTGTGTCGCGCTCGTTCAGTGGCCTCGTTTCGCTTCGACGGCTTTCCGCCTCACCCTGCTTCATTCTACGACGTTAATAAATCTTTAATACATTAGCTCATCCATGAACATGATTTCTGCCCGAGTCCCGTCGGATTGCTTCGGCTGTGGGGATGAAGACGACAACTCCCATGATTCCACACTCAGTCACGGCATCATCAAACTACGCCTTTGTTTCTTTGTTTGTTTTGAATACGCGCCCTCTAGTGGCAAAAACTTACATATTGTGCCTTTAATGAGAAATGTTTCCTGAGCACCAAATCAGCATATTACACTTAAGACTGGCATAATGATGGCTGAAAATTCAGCTTTGCCATCACAAAAATAAATCACATTTTTAAATAGATTAAAATAAAAACATTATTTTCAGTTGTAGCAATATTTCACAATATTACTATTTTTATTGTATTTTTGATTAAATAAATGCAGCCTTGGTACGCATAAGAGACTTATTCATTGAAAAATCTTACCAACCACAAACTTTTTTAGATCTTTCATTTGCATGTACTGTATGATGGATCTTATGTTTTTCAGCTTGTGGCTAACTATCTGGGAGGGAGGCTGTTGCTGCCCACGAACAGTGCTACAATCTACCAGCAGGTTGCAGAGTTGACCGCTCTTCAACACCTTGCACTTGGGCTGACTGATCTACCCTCCAAGTAATTTTATATATATATCAAACATTTGATTTCTTATCCCTAAACCTTTCGGTGAAACATTTCAGCCGTTTCAGCCAACAGTCAAATCATAGTTTTAAACCTGACACATCTTTACATGTAATCAATTTTCATCTTCAGTGCTGAGGTAAAGCAGTACCTTCCCCGGATGGATCAGCTCAACTCCAATGACGAAAGACTTCTTGCTACTATACGGGCACAGTTTTCTACCTTAGGCCCCCTCAGCCTTCTTAATGCCAAAGCTCGCTTAATCAGTGAGTGAACAAATCTGCTTAATGTTTCCAGATAACTATGAAACCATTTCATTTATTGACTTCACATCCTTATATCCATATAAACAAACTCTTCAACTTTCCAGAAAGTGTCAGTGTGCTGCCTTTCTTTGGATTCGATGTATTCACTGCTCAGAAAGTAAGTCATGGCAGCTGCCCCTCTCCCTCTCTGGTCGCAGTCAACCATGAAGTTATCAAAATCCTTGATCCCAAATCACAGGTATGACATCCTTGATCTGTCTCTCCAGTTCAGTTCCCATGATGTTTTGACCTTAATTGTGTGTTTTAACCATATCCGACCAAAACTAAACAATCACAAACTTTGCAGAACGCATTTTTGACAATGTCTATGGATGATGTGCAGTCCTTGCGCTCAATCCGTCCCAAAAAAGACAAACTGCCATCAGTTGAGATCAGCTTTAGTGGCCGAACTCAGCCCAGGACTGTCAGCTTCAGTCTAAAGCAGGTTCGGATGTAGATATGATATGTACAATATGGTCTTATTAATATTTGGTTATGGTTATTAATGAGATTGCTCTTGTATTGATCTCTCGTGTCTCCCAGGCGAAAGAGCTGTGCCACACCATTGCTGTGATTATGGAAGAAGTGGTGAAACCCTCCTACAGCAATTTGTCCAGTCGGTCCGGAACTCCACATTAAACAACCAACATATGCAAACTTCCCCTAATATCCCATGACTTACTCTAAAGTTCAAATATGTCTCCAGCCATAAAATATTGCAGTCGTTTTATTTAAAAAAGATGTACAAATGTTTATGTAAGATCAAGGTTAATGCTTACAAAATGTTTAATTCAATATAGACAGGGGTTTTCAGGGCTGTAAAGATACTGCAGAAAAAATGTATACAGTACAATTTTCTATAAAAAATATGACATTTTGAACTGTTTGGAATGGACATTAATGATTTAATAAGCATTGTTTAATGTAATGATGTTTTTTTTAAACAAATATGTGTTTAATTTAGCATCATTATGAATTTATACCAACAAATGGGGATGATTTGTGATTATATTTATTATAAGGCTGACCTATTTTGTATATGTGTTATAATTATGTGTAATTATTTGCCTCCAAATAAAAGAAAACTGATTATTTCACTTTGATGTGCAGGGCAACTACGCCAAAGAGAGGCTCCGCCCTATGAGCTAGACAACAGCAAGCCGATTACCCGCCTTGTAGTACTGACCAATCACACAGGACAAAACGATTCAAATCCCGCCCCTCAGATAACACTGGCCAATCAGATTTCACTACATCGTCCGTGCACAAACATACCACGCCCTTCTAGTCACTAACATGGCCGTCACCAGGGAGTGAGTCCGAGGAGTTTGAGACGAATAATATTTGATTCTGCTCAAACACTCTTGATGATTGACGATGCTACTTGCGGGTCGTTGATGTTGCAGCTCGATAACGTAAGTTTATGTGGATTTAGTGTGATTTGAACATGTAGCCAGTAGCATTTAACCCCTAGGCCACCTCTGTTAACATGAACCAGCTGTTTAGATGATTTATAAATGGTTTAATGATATTTACATATAAAAGACTGTACATTTGACAGCTCATACAGCAGAATTGTTTCCATCAGTCTCGAGCCTTGATCAAACGATCAACATGCCAAATGGCAGCTGCCTTTCACATTACCACAGGTCTAATAATAATCGGAAAAACTTGGGAATATAATATTTTATGATGTGTAATTCATAGATGCAAGCTGCTACTGAAAAGTATTTGATAACTTTATGTAATACCACTGCTTATTTACGGTTTCTCTGTAAAAATCTCTACAAAACTTTCATATTGTTTTAGTTGTTCAGATGAATCCTGTGTTGTCATTTCACTCCCTCTAGTCAAATATTAAAGCCTCTGGTAGCATAAACACTAAGTATTTGTGTAATGCTGTCACCTTATAAATCAGGTCAGCACTTCTTTTCTCTCTCTGAATATTCGCCTTTGATTATGTAAGTGCTATGTATGTATGTATGTATGCTCCAGTGATGGTTAATTACAGTTTTGTGAGCCAGTTTGGATATTCAGAATCAGTGGCGAGTTAACTTGCAAGTTTGCTGCTTAGGTTTGCTTTTCTCTTTAAAGAATAAGCCAAACGCTCAGTGATTTGTTTGTCAAATATAGCGTCTTACCTAGAAAGCCACAGATTAAATGATTAAATTCCCTACATTGTTTGAGGTTGTAGCCAAAAGCTGTTTTTGCAGATTGCTGGCACTCTTATATAATTTCTCTTGTTTAATTTTAGACTATCAATACCCAATTGGTCATGTTTACAGTGACATCAGGGGAAACAGGGAAGCTCACCACTTTCATGTGAGCAAGAATATTCATTTTTATTAAATGAAACATCTTGTGTGATTGCCAAAACCTGATTATGTCAGGTTGGCATCAGGTGGCAATAGCATAAGTATAAAATCAGGTGTAATTGAATATTTGAACTACCCTTATTTACAGACATGCTATTGCTCTTTATTGCACTCTTGTGTGACGTTGTCAGTGAAATGAGTAAGTGAGCAAAGGCCAGTCTGACCATCTTCTGTCGATCCGGTGACTGACATTTTCAAATAACTGCAGCATGTAAACCTGACTTGGATAATGATGTTAATTGAAGTCTTTAATTATTTGTAATAACTCCTTTTCTAACCTGATCAGATCCCTTTGAATGTAAGAAGAGAGAAGCCACACACATTCATTGATTCCAGTTCCCTGGGCACGACTACAGCCCTGACATCCGTCCCTCAGACTGGCAGTGCCCGCAGGTGCAGCGTCTTGGAGCTGGGGGCCACAGTTGCCTTCCTCTGCCAGCCGGACTGGGATCGGGACAAGTGTGGACCGTAACTACCAGCTCTGGGCATCTCGACAGAGTATGGTGAGAGACGGCGGCTGCCATGGAGCTACAGGATAAGAAACAGGTAAGGTCTTGAGGTGTCTTCATCTTATAGATGAGAGTGGGTTTGCTCAGACTGTTGATTACCACTGAAAATTATTTTTACACTCTGTTTGTAAAGCAACAGCAACAAGAAATCGAGTTGAAAGATTGGGTATGACTTTACATAGATAAGGCAACTTCATCACACTAGTCTCATTTTAATATCAAATAATGTTTAAAAAATATTCATACTAGGGCTGAAACGATTCCTCGAATACAAAAAAATCATCGAGGCAAATTATTTCGTTTAGTCCAGGGGTGCCCAAATTCGGTCCTGGAGGGCCGGTGTCCTGCAGAGTTTAGCTCCAACTTGCCTCAACACACCTGCCTTCAAGTTTCTAGTATGCCTAGTAAGAGCTTGATTAGCTGGTTCAGGTGTGTTTAATTGGGGTTGGAGCTAAACTCTTCAGGACACCGGCCCTCCAGGATTGAGTTTGGGCACCCCTGGTTTAGTCCATTTACTGTAACTACACACGGAACACCGTGTTTCTCCACGGACCATTATTACTGACGCATAACCTGATAAACGCTGGACCAGACCATAGACGATAGACTGTATAAAAACAGGGACCAGAGTTTAAAAAAAAGCACTGGACATATTTAAAACGATAAATCAATATGGTGGCTAGTTATAATGTCCATACGTTAGCTATGTTTTGTGAAAGACTAAACGTCATTGTGCATAAAAATACCACAGAAAGAAAGTTAGTCAATATCAGACGAAGAGTGCCAGTTTTCACCTCTAAAATCAGCATGATTACAAATGTGATTTTATTCAACCGTTCAATAAACAAGAAGGTAATATTATGAGACTTATGCTTTAGACACTATATTGCCTGTTTTTGCTTTATTTTGGCAACAGAACATTTTTTTGTATAGTTATGCTAGCCATACATTTTGTAAATAAACGCCTGACAATTATGCCAATAAAGTTTTGACTTTATGATTGTATTTATGCCCATGTGTGATGATAAATGAGCGTGTTGTGTTTTCGTTTTCAAATGAAACTACATGAATGATTAATTCCTCAACGAAACATTTATAATTATGGTCTATTAATTAGCCGAAATAAAATGAAATATATGTTCAATTTAAACTGCATTCCAGCAAAAATTTCAGTCAGCATAATCAAAGCTTTATTGGCATGTCGAGCATTTACAGTAGGCTAATATTTACAAAAGTATTCAGAACGTTAAGTAAAGAGATCGAAATGAAGGGAACAAATTAATATAATTCGGTAGCCAAGGCCGGTTAATATAAAAATTTAATATTTTCTATAATAAATAATATAATAATTAAAAAAAAACTTAATTCAAAATAAAATATTAATAAATCCATCTCTGATAATCCCGGGTTGCTATGGTCACGCAGGTTTGCTTACGCATTAAACTCGTGGCCACGAGAAAAATGTCATTCCCGCAACATAAGAAGTCGTGGCCACAAGAAAAATATGTCGTTCCCGCAACATAGCATCTTGAGGCCACGACATAAGGATGTCATTACCTCGACAAAATGATCTCGTGACCACAACATATCACGTTCCCACGAGTTAATATGACGTTCCCTCAAATTAATATCTCGTTGCCACGACAAAACTAAGTGAACTGAACATGTCACTTTACGGGCACCGTACTTTCCTGAATGAATCAACCGTTTAAATGAAATTCATCCAATGCAGCTCCTGTGTTTCCTCTGCATTGCAAAGATGAATTTTGATACTGATATGATATCATTTGTTTGGTAACTAGCAGCCCAAATGTCTTTTATTCTAATTGACTGATTAAATGTAAGAATTTGACTCAAACGATGATGCACACTTTTAGAAAAAAAAGGCTTTATAAAAGTAAAAATGCCCATAAAATGTAAAAATCTATTTAAACTTATTGGAACAGATTAATTTATATCACTGCTGTGAACTGACCCGCACAGAATATGAAGGATATCAAAAACAAGTTTTACACACACGCACACACACACACACACACACGCACACACACACACACCTGTACTTATAGGGACATTTAAGCGGGTTTATTCTCCAAATAACTCTAATTTCATGTTGCTGAAAAATGTGTTTAAAAATTGTGTATGGTCTCTTGTTCTTGTTCCAAGTTATTTTCCTGTCCACTGATTTTTGCCTCTTACAAAAGCCACAAAGCCTTCCAAGAAGACCGTAAAGGCTTATGTCATGCTTGAGCTTTAGTTAGGCTGAAACTTGAAAGTTAAGTTGCACGAAATAAATGCAATGTTTAGGTATTATTTTTATTACTATTATTTAGATTTATGTCTTAGTTTTAGTTTGTACTTTACCTTTTTTAAAGTAATGTGAAATTGATTTTTGTATTTTTATTTTTTTGTTATATTTGTATTTGCATTTTGAATGCAATTTGGCAATTAAATACATGGGTTTAGTTTTCATGGTTATTAATGTATATTTAGTATTGCTCTTTAATAAAGAAAAATGACTTCTTATCCGATTACTCGATTAATCAATGGAATAATCTGTAGAATACTTGATTACTAAAATAATCGATAGCTACAGCCCTAATTCATACTATTTTTTTGTAGTAGAATTTAATTAAAAAGTGTAATCACATTTTCTAAACAAATTCCAGCCACCAAAGACAATGCATTAATTACTCCTATGAACTCACTGACTAGAAAACTTTCACTAATCTTTTTTTTATAGATTTTTTTTTTTTTGTTCTCTGGCATATTTAGACCTCTGTATAGGAAGTGCTGAAAAACTGGTGCGAATGAAAGTTTTTGCATAATCAAGGTCAAGGGCACAAAATTCTAAAATAGAAAAATGTAATGTTTATTTACAGGGGAATTTCATTCGTATTTTCCGGTCATGAGTATTTTTGCTCTGAGAAGTCCTGTAATAATTAGC